GTACATGTGCAATCAATTTGTTTCAGTCTTATTTTTCTGTTACATACAAATTGCTACACACTTTTCAAATTTTCTCACCACTTTTCCCCCACTCTGACACTCATATATATAGATGGTCAGTACTCATGATGGATATCATTTTTGCAAGCTAGGCAGATTGTATGTACGGTGTCCAATTCCCAGGGAAGCAATTCCCTTAGATCGCGAGCTTAGTGCTGTGGCACTTTATCTACCACCACAACCTGACCCATACTAATCTCACCTGACAATACAGTAAACCAAAAACAGCCTCAGTGCTGGGATTGAATTACTCAGGTCCAGCGTACTTCTCATTCCGTACAATACAGACTAATAACTATCATTTCAACTTAGCCGGAGATTCCAGCAAGATGGGTTAGGGCAATTTCGGGTAGCCCTTTGTCGCCGTGTTTTCAGTTAAACGCTAAGTCTGTAAAATGTACTTACAGTGTAACTCAGTCGGTGGTACGTGCATAATGGATATTCGGTCTCTAGTACGAGGAAATTATTCTAGTTGAATTATTGATGTTAGAATAATGTCCGTGCTCCCCTGGGACCCCAGGACGGTTTAGGTTCCTTTTGCCCGATGTGATGATGTTTTAAAAGTGACTCACAAACTGGGGAAAGGAGTCGTTCCAAAGGATAAGATGATCCTGAAAGCACACGAATCGATGTACTGAAAGTTTAATGACTTGCAGATTATGCAGGTTGAGTATTTCTATGACAGGTGAGGCATACGTAGTGGACTTTTCTCGGCCTAGATTCCCTTGTGATTGGTAGGTAGTACTCAAGATTCCATCTGAAGCGTCCCTCTAATGTTGGGTAAGGGGATTTCTTGGCCTTTCAGCACAAATGTGAAGCTATTCTTCAGGTTATGTATATAATTTGCACAATGTCAAGGTAAGGTGGCCGTTCTCTATTGAGGTAAAGAACGAAACTTTTTCTACAGCTGATACTGGCTTGCCACTACTTGAATTAATTTTGCTATATGCCCCCACTCTTATTGACAACTTACTTAATGATACATAAATAGGCTAATCAAAAACAGAATTTCTAGTTTGTCCAAATTTAGAAAGGGTCCAATGTCATGGGGTTAAAAAAGATTTCATTTCTGGTTGACTTCTTTATTCAATATAAGAATATGAATAATACATCTTGTGTACAATGACTGAAGGAATCTGGCATATTTATGATATTATATCAATTAAGATGGATTACTGTTGTCATTGAATTATAAAAGGTTAAAAGTGTTGTGTACTGTTGGAATTCATATACCAAAACATATATTACTACAGGAGAGAATGCATTTTGATGTTTGAGTGTCATAAGATTGAGTCTATAACATAATTGCATTGATAACTAAACTAGATGACAAGGGCATGTGTGGAGAATAGACATAATGAATATCATTACAGCAAACATGAATTGCTAGAAACTATTGCCATGTTTTCATGTATACTTTGTACTACCAAGTGGTAACTGTACAATGAATGCAGCAAAAGTCCACAAACAAGTCTACATTTGTATTTAAACACAGTAGAGTGTAGGTTAGGTGCAGGTAGACATCAGAAATACCTGCACTATGCACCCAGTATTTCTAGCCCTGCCCTTTGAAAACACATCTCTCCACCCCATTATTGACATTAGCTGAGCTCACCTTACCTCACCTCACCTATCCCGTAGTCTTGTGGATTGTGCCCATTATATCACCAAAGCTATTTGTCTCAAACTAGATCGGAGCTGTGGCTTTTACCCTGGAGTGCTAACCAATCAACACTCCCAGATCTCGGCCTGTAGCCATTTCCACCATTAGACTGATAACAGTCACAGGCAATGTCCCCACAACTAGTCTTTCTGACAAAATGCTATCTGGTGAAATAATACTCAGAGTACAATTATGCACTTGTAAATTATATGATTGTATGACCCAAAATTAGAGCCGTGCATTTGGGTACATTGGGTGCACAATGGGTATTTGTGTAGAGTTCATGTCAAGATATACTAGTACTATTCTATACCTAGTATAAAGTATATTCTTGACATTCAAGAAAAATATAAAACTTTTGTTTATTTGTTCTCCATCCGTGTTAAATACATTACATACTCATATTACTGTTCTTCCTTGCTAGTTTGCAAGGGTAATGATGTAATTGTAAATAACAATTGTTGATTACATTAACATAAATAACAGGTAGAGAACAATTGTAAAGGTGCGTCGATGAAGATTAGACATCCAGGTAATGAGAATTTGCAAGGAATTACTACTCAAGCAACTGGATAGATTTTAAAAAAAACTGTCCGATGTTTCAAGTAGAAATTGTTGGCCATTAATTATATCAGTCAGAAAGTCTGGGATCACCTATAGTCTTGAAACATCTGACAGTCTTCAAAATTTATCCAGTTGCTTGAGTTAACAATTCCTTGTTTAATTATATCATAAAGGTGATTAGTTGACTTGCTATAATGAGATTGTCCATTGTACCTGTACCTGTGGTTAGCCTGACTTATTTGTGGTCATTGCTGAAGTGTGTGTCTGACATGGGTCTTGCTAAGTACATCCTTGCTGTGCTCTTGGGACCATTACTGGAATTGGCTTGCGTTGTCCCAAATTCATTTGAGTATGGACATGCCCAGCTCGTTAATGTAGGGGAATTTGTGGCATTTCATCAGTCCAGACTGATCTCCACTCAGTTCAAATGAAGCACTACAAGTCTAGACCATAAAGAGATGGAATTGAATGGGTTGCTGGCTTTTAGGACCCTTATGTAATAATGTCTATAAATAGTATAATTGGAAATTGTATTATGTTTGTCTAAAACAGCATTATGCAATATTCATTGTGATGAAATAAATTTTCTATGAGCAGCGCAGTAGAAGGGAGCATAATTTAACTGTTACACTTACATGTATTATTATAAGCATGCTTGAGGAATGTACTCCAAATATGCCAAATAATATGTGTGTGTACTTACCAATTTAAAACCTAGGAAATTGGTGCAGGTTGCAGATGTGTATATCAACAGTAACGAGGAAAAATATTTTTGGAAATCATTGAAGACATCCTTTAGGACTAATATAGCTATCTGTATAGAGATGTAGAGCAATGTGTCAGTAATGGCAAGAGATAATTTGTTTGTAGCATTGTGATCTCCATTAGTGTAAATTTCACTCTATTCTTGCTACAGTCTGTAGTGAATCACCAGATAGTAGTGTTTGGACCATTGCACACCGGGGCATTAGATTCTTTTTAACATCCTATCCGGGGGAATTGAAGTCCCTAACCAAAGCTCTAGGTACTAATTTTTACCTGAATTAAATTAAGTGAGAAAAGCAGCGTAAACAGCCTTTCCCAAAGTTGTGGATTCGAACCCATAAGCTATGGGTTCTGGGCCAAACACCCAACCACTACACCACACGATCCCACCTTTGTACTAAGTAATTTGCCCGCTGACCTCAATTTCTCTCTACATATTGATTTTGAGAGGCAGAATTAGTGATTGATGATGATTGGAAGTGTTTCATTGCTTTCTGTTGGCATGTACTTTTCTTATTATCAACAAAACACTTAGTCTAATACATCCAAGCATGGAAGCTGGCAAATGTGACTACACTGCCATCGCATTAGATAATCAATAGTGGCTGTAAACTGTGAACAAAAATAGGTGTTATGTTGATAAAGTAAACAATATTCAAGGACAGTTCAATATTATTGGACAAAATATGGAGATTACTTCTGGACGTTTGAAGTGACATCCTTCACTTTTCTTCAGCATCACTAATAATAATATGAAGTTGACTGAGAGAACTATGTCAACACTTACCACGATAGATGATAAAGATAGATCACGAAGATAGATTATAAAATATAGGTGTTGGTATGCCTTTTCTACAGCTAGGACATATCAGGATGGCAAAGAATTTACCCTGTTCTGAAAATTTCCTTTCAATAATTGTGTTCTTATTATTCCAGTCATGTTAATGTCATTTTTGATAGACCAATAATTTGCCGTTTCTTCTCTTCCTTTGTTAAAAACTGGGTGAAGGGTCATGACCCGTAGGCCTCCACTGTAGGTTCAGGTTTTAAGCTTGTTCCCTTTAACAATGTTACGCCTGATGGAAAAATCAATGAAATTTTCTTCAAGAATATCCTCGCATCCTTGAATTGTTAGATTTCAACAGAAAGGGGCAAGAATAAAGGTGATCAAGCAACTAAGAACCATAATCCAAAACAACATCCTTGGGTGATTTCTAGCAGGAGGGTTGGACCCTACTATGCATTTTAAACACATGCAGAATGTTGCTCCATTTGGTAATCAATAAGTTTCAGGGAAATCAATGGTCCATGTGGTTCAATCAATAACCTCGGGCTGTTCAGCACCAGGGACAGGCCAATTTTGGGATCTAACTCTAGCCTCCAGCAGCTAGATGTTAGGTCTTTAACTGTAATCATTGCCGTGTATGGATCAGATGAAAGAAGGCATCCATGCATTGGACATTTAGGTGTAGTTATGTTCAGCCCCCACTAACTGTTAATAGCTTCATGGCTTGGGGTCACAGTCTTCATTTACCGAAGAAAGTTCTGAAACAGTTTTATTTCAGCTTTTCTTCCCTTTTTTTTCCCCATATTATAATCCATGCGTAATTAAACTATATGTTTATTATTAAACTGGGTTTTGTAAAAGATTGAAGATTTTTACCAAAGACAGCTGGATCATAGCATATTTGTTTTTAAAAGAGGTTGAAAAAGGTGTGCTGTATAAATACATGTGTACATTAAGATATATGCCAGAGCTCAAACTTAAACTCAAACATTTCAGGGCACTGGTGTACCCAACGAAAATATGCGAAAATATTTGATTCACCGGTGTACTCAAAGAAAAAAATTGGTTCACAGCTCCAGTTTGTATTGGAGCAGTGCACCCAATATATATGTGAGCTTTTTGCAGTCAGATGGTAAACGTAATTCTGTCTTTTCTTTGCAGATACCTCAGGGCTGCCATGCATGGATGTGTGCCAGGCTAGCTTTTAGTACGTCAGCTGTGAACTATAGTGGTAAGGAAACATTCAACCTGCTTCAATAGAACACACTTTTTCTGTCTGTGTATATGCCTCTTCAATAAGTATGCCTGTACTTCAGTGACACTGCACTACCCGTTAATGTTCTTTCAGCATACTCAGTCAATGTCTGGTTTTGTGTTTGAAGTTCAAACTTTTGAACCAACAGAAAGAATGGTTGTCACCTAGAACTTGCAACCAGTTAATCTCGTCTTCTTTCATAGACTGATCCAGTGAGGCTTGTTATAAGTTGCTTCTCGGACGTGTGACGTCAACACTGGGTCAATCTCTGTTTTTGTTTGTTTGTTTGTTTGTTTGTTTGCAGAAGTAACAGTTGAGTACAGAAGCGGGCTGCCCAGTGTGACGGTCCCACTGCCATCTAAGAATGACAGGTCAGTGGTTGCAATTTTTATCTTTTAAATAGTTGACAATATCTCCTTTGGTAATGTCTCCCTTTATGGATGACAAAAATTTTTAGGAGGGGTCGAAGATCTGCTGAAAAAGACCTCCATTAGCCTAGACTGATGCAACGTAACCTGTTTGCAGTCTCGTTTTGCAATCGCCATCTTTATTGAAAACACCAGCTGTCAACTGTCAAGGAGGTCATGTAGCATAAAACAGTACCTCCATTTTTCACAAACACAAAGACATACCAAGAATAATACCTCCATTTTTCACAAAGGTAACAGCTATTTTTTTCTATCCTGCAGGTGTAGGTTCACGCTCAAACCCATCAGTAACACAGTAGGGGACTTCCTGAGGTACCTGAAGGATGAAGATGGGGGCATTGAGAGGACTGCCATATACACAACTGGTCAGTCACTGTATACTTTAATTATGCAGGAAGACGTGTTGTTTTTTGTCAGTTTCTTCCTCTTCTTCTCCAAATCAAAAAGGTCAATGACCTAAACCAGACTGTCTGTTACCATCATGATGGTAACTAGAGTTGGGTTACATCAATTTTATAGCAAGAGGGATTTAGACTCCTGTCTGACCATATATATGGATGTGTTTGAGTAAAAATTAACAGATGTACTAAACTATATACAATGTACTAAAGGTAAACATTATGCATTTGCTTTGCAAATGTTACCTTCCTAAAAGTTTGCGGTCTGAGAAAAATGGAGGTGTTTGTTCACAGAACGATATGTGTATGGTGGCGGTAGGTGCAGAAAAAAGAAAGTCGGTGAATTATTTGTTCACGGTAATGATAACTTTGTGGTACCATTTAGTGACAACGAAAACCCCGAACATAAAAGTACCCCCCCCCCAAAAAAAAAATTCACGAATTAATCATAATAGGTATACTACAAAAAAGAACTCTTCTAAATTTCAAACCTTTGCCAAAGCCGACCGTAGTTTACTTTATATGATATTCTAAGTTGAAATATGCAGTTTGTGTAATATCCATAATTATCATACCATAAGTTTCATCAATTATCTTGTTAATTAATTGACAGTAACAGTGAAGTATATTATACCCAACTGGGGCTTATTGCATTGATTTACATGTCTAGAGAATAATAGGAAAACTATACAGTGCTTTATCTGTATCAGTATGATTTTCATGGTTCATCGCTCATCGAAACATGTTTTTCAATTATATTGATTATATCACATTTATATGATATCATTACATTTTGCACATATATTCCTTTTGTTATTAAATGTTTGTATCTCTTGTCTAGATACATGTTTATGGCACTAACAATGTTATAATGTAATTTTTGTCCTGAAACAGAGGATGTGAAGATTGCACAATCAACCACCATCGACCAGTTGGTGCAGAATGACTTCAAACTTCTTATCAACGACACCATGTATACTGTCCAGGCACCAGACCAAGGTAAGTTACATGTACAGTTATTGGGTATACAGCCCCAATTTTGGAATTGAATGTAATTTGTAAAAATGACTACGGTACATCTCCTTTTTATCACTTGTTTTATGTATACAAAAATTAACTAATGAAATATACATGTCATGTTTGTTTACATGAAAGGTTTTATGAAGGGGGGTGAACAGAAAGGTTATGGTGTGTACATGTAGCAGGTGCACTGGAATCCCTACAAGTAGTGCCTGAGGGGGAATATGCCATTAGGAAGATGACTGATGTCTGTGGTTAGCCAGGCTTTTAATTACGGGTCAGAATGGATTATTACCCAATATCGGGATCTCTATATATAGAGAGAGAGCAGCAAAGAGGCTGTGTTGAGAGGAAGCTCACCATGCAAGTCAATTAGCTCAACCTATGAGGGCTTTCTCAAGGACCCCATAGGTGGCTGATGTGTTTTACTGTCATGAAGTGGATTAGGACATGTCCCTGTATTACAATGTATGTGTATCCACTGGACCTAAAATACTTTTTTCGGCATTGAAAATTACCCGCATCAGACAAGTTTTACCTGCATCAGTCAGACTATGAGAAGTATGGATCATACTAGAAACTATTCAGAAACCACTGCCATCATTTCTTTTATATTTCATACTGGTGTTGGTGACAGTGAATGTCCACTTTGTATATAAACCAAGTACATGTACGTGGACCTGTGCAGGTTAGGTGCAGGTAGACATCAGAAATACCTGCACAGCCCCAATTTAACCTATACTAAAGGTGCATATGCGCCCAGTATTTCAAGCCCTGGAATCACAGCTTGAAGTGATCTAAATACTGGAACAGAGACAGTTGGTTCAACCTACCAACCTGCCTGTGCTATAATTGCATATCACGTGTCAAGTTGAAATATTACGGATGAGCTTGCCAAATTTCGTTCAAAAAAATGAAGAAAAATACTATACTACATTTGCCAAAACTGTCACCACTAGGCAAGATGCACAGTCGTTTCTCCCTTATACATACTTATAATAGAGGATGCTTTTAGCGAGTAATGTTATCTGCACCGTTGCTATTTTGCACTTTCTGTAAGAGATCGGTAGTGCTCATCAGTACATAGATCATTTACCTCCTACTGCCTGGAGGCACTTTGACCTCATAAACTCCAGAATGTTTGCTGAGTTCTATATCCAAGGTTATCTGGCATTGTCCTTTCACAGCTGCCGTCATTTCCAAACCAGAGGTCATTGTCGTAATATGCAATTTTGAGAAATTGGATTGTGAATGAAATGGGACGTCATCTGTGCATCGGGGGGCTGTCATTGTGCTCGATTAATTAGGTACTGATGGAATAGGCAAAGCCCATAAAATTACCACAGAGATATTGTCACACTAGATGAGAACATGTCATACCATCATCCACGCGCGCAGATATATGCCGTAAATTGCAAAAAGATATTGGAAAACGATACTAATGTTGAGGAATGCCAAAATCAATTCCTGAGGAAAAGAAAAAAATGCGAAGAAATGAAGATGAAGAGTCTCTTATTCGCCACACCATACTCAATGTGCTTGGTCATTTGTTTAACCTTCATGACCACATAGATTTTGTAATGAAGGCAACATTTCTTTGCCAAACCTTTTTGCTATTAGCATGCTTGCATCAGTTTTTGGGGGTTCCCAGAGGATGTCATTCATATAATCAATATGGCCTAAATCACGAACTTCCAAGTACCAGCAGTATAACTAGTATTTGATCCTGGCACTCTGGGGCAGCCCTAATTTTTCAAAAGGTGTGGTGGGGTTTGAAGTCTCTAACAGGCATACATGTGGGTGTGGGGTAGGGTGTGGCTCTCTCCAAACACAGGACCTCCATTTAACGTCCTATCCAAGGGACATCCCCCAACCACAGCTTGGTTGTACACCTGTGTGAAATGAGGAAAGTCATGTGAAATGCCTTTCCCAAGGGCACAGCATTGGGATATTGTCAGGGATTCAAACCCAGGACCTATGGGTTCTGGGCCAAATGCCCAACCATTATGCCACACAACGCCACTAGAAAATCAATCTAGATGCAGATGTAGATGGCCGTATGGGAAACCTTTAAGTTGGTACATTAATGCCAGTTAATCCATTTGACTGACACCTTCAAATCCAGAGACTTTCCAGGTGGGCAGGGACCAGCTCAGAAGTGTGATACTTCCTCGGGTGCTAATGTGTGAAAGTGTTTGGTATGTTCTGGAAACATTGCGATAACCTTGTGTTCCTTGCAAAGCCATCTGAGATTTTATACTTAGATAGATGTAGGAAGTTCAACTGGTGAAAAGACTTGTACTTGAAACACTTCCATGGATGACATCCTCTGGGAACCCCAAAACCAATGCGAGCGTGCGAATAAAAAAAAAAGTTGCTTTCATTATGAAATCTATGTGGTTGCGAATATGAAGGTTAAACAAATGACACGGAGTTTGGTATGGTGAATAATCTAGTCTTCAAATTCAGTTCTTTACATTTTCGTCTTTTTCGTTTGATTTTGGTATTCTACGACATTTGTATCGTTCTCCAAAATTTTTTTTGCAACTTACAGTATATATTTGCTCATTTTTTTACGATTTGCAATATGGTTGAAAACTTTTTTTCTGGAAACGGCCGAAAATTTATGCGCGCGCGGATGTCATCCATACATTCAAATCAACATGGCCTAATCTCTCACAGGTAATACACTCATGATCAGTCCCCTCCATTGATCATGTCACCTTTAAGACATTCAGCACACCAAGCCTGTTGACCAGGTCATACATAAATGTCGTCTTAAGAAATGAGAAATAAAGGTAGCAGCTACGGCCTAGTTCTGGAAGACTGCCCAATTACTTACATGGGACATGTGGTCCAATAAAATATGCTCTGCACCGAACATACATGTAGGAGCTGTGTACTTATTATTTTTTTTACTTTGGGTGCAACGATGCACCTAGATATTTATGTAGGATTTAGTATGTACTATAATTTGTACATTTGTATACAGCATGTTCTGGATATTAAAACTTTGTTAATTCTATGTATGAAATCTTCCACAGGGAAGATATAGGGATTTAGTTTGGGCCCCCTGGCAGCTTGTTTTGTCATGTCTTCCAGGGAGGTTACTGTCCATGTCTGAGGACGTGACGACCATGGATGACATCAAGGCCATGATCGCCCAGCTGCACACGTCCCTCAACATCGAGCAGTTCCAGCTGCAGAGGGAACAGGACATCCTCAAGAAGATGGAGGACCTTCAGGTGGAGATTGAACCTCTGGAGAAGGTCAGTCACGTCTTAGCAGTTGTTTTGTGTTGTATTCTTTATTCACACATACATGTAAGTAAATGATAAAACCCAACACAAAGGAAAGATACATAAGGCCTTGGGAAAAAATATTTTAAATTTTACTGTTTCCCAACCAACCCTAGAAAAAACTGCTGACCCTAGCCTTTTTTGTGTGAAAGGAGTATTCACGTCCTAGTTTTAAAATATGAAAAAACATAAAAACGTGAAAAATATTAATTCTTTCAAGAAGTGGGTTAAATGCTGCATGTAGGGCTGCAGAAAACACTGAGCTTATAGTAAGAACCTACCAACCTGCCACTATCGGAACAGACGTAAACTAACCAGGATGGCACCCAGGCTAGTCATTTCTTGCTCCACAGAATAATTTTCACGCCTAGTATGGTGTAGAAAATGGTCTTCACATTGCAGTTATTTTGATGGAGGGTGTAATGTGAGTCATATCACTGACACTCACGTCCTTTAGATGCAGTTCTAATCTCGTAAATGACAAAGAAAGCCCCTTTTTATACATGTAGACAGATTATAAAGGATAGAATATAAAAAGGTAGACTAGTGGGCTATTTTCTGTAAAAGCTCTTACTTCTTTGTACTTGCAGCAAAAAAAAATAATCATACAGATGTTACCACATAGATGCAAAACCAACATTTGCTTTTAGCAAAAACAGAATATTTTCCATTTTTTCCATGAGTTGTATTTCTAATTCATTATCACAGCAAAATTGTTCAACACAAAGTGAGCTATATATAGCCATACAAATGTAGCTTTTCCAAACCACTGATCCAAAGAAAATACAAGGTAGACATTCTGACAAATGAGATACACAGAGAGAGCTTGGCACTGAAATATTCGTTCATCCAGCTATAATATTTCTTTTGTTGGCAGTACCATTTTTCAGTGCTCTACATCAAGCCAACGTGTCGTTAAGTAAACATCTTGTTTAATGGGAATCAATTGAGAATACAGCGCACATCCATAATTTATATAATGTGGGAATACAATATGTTAGAATTCGACCTAGTTGGCCAGAGTACATCAATCAAAAGGATGGCGTCATCTTTCTGAAAAAAAAAAAACAGTTGGATTTTTGGCATCATCAGAAGGCAACAAATTTATGTTAAGTTTTGAATGCACCACAGAACTAGTAATGTAACATATCAGATAGATATGCAAGACTTAGTAATTACATGTATTAGAACTGGAAAACGCTCAATTACTAGAAGAAAATTGCAGCTCTGTTGTCAGCTGCAGCTTGATTTATGCACTGGTTGAGAAACAAAATTAGGTCACTGATGTCATCAAATTACAAAACAAAGAATTGTTGCTGGCTCAAAAAAGACACTATGGTATGTCTGACTGATATGTCTCAAAAGTAGGCGCTCAGTTAGATGTTGTTGATATAGATTCAACTTTTACCGTCTTAATCGAGATTAGTTTTCTTCCTAATATTCTGCACTAGCTTAAACGTGAAAAGGTTCATTCGATTGACAGTATCCGAAATGTAACTTTCTCTGGATAATGAAAAGGAAATATGATAAAGCTAACAAAACCAAAAAAAGTCATCTACCATACGCCATTACGTTAGCATCGGCCATGTTGGATAAATCAAGATCGTATCGTAGACAGCATCACTTCAAATTAGATTCAAGATGGCCTAAAACAAATTAGAACCTGATTGCATGAATAAGGCCTTTTGAATCATTAGTGTGTGGGCCTTTATTCAGTAAAGTCAGAGAGGAATTGTAATGAAATGCTAGGCCATAACCAAAGCAATTTAATTACCCAGTACTGTTTTTACTCCTACTTATAAAATGTGATTTGTGACAAAGATAATGACTCATTTTCAGTTATGGGATGAATACACACAAAAACTACAGACACCACTATGCAATCTGATGTTAGAAGCCCATTTTTTTTATAATGCAATCATTTCTTTAAAAAACTGTTTCAAGCCCTTAACTGACAATTATGACATGATAGCAAGCAGGGATAAAATATCTGGGTGGTGCCAATATTCCTTAATTGGAAGTGTAATATCACATGCCACATCAGCATCCTCCCACTGCAGTAGCCACCTGTAATGACAGGGGGCTCTTCAAACTTCGATATTAATTGCCATTAGAATACAATAGAATACAAGACATTGTATGCCGTATCACCCAAGGTGCCAGCCTTACCGTAGGTCGGATTGCCCCATGGCCAAACTCCGGAGGGTGAACCGACCAGGGGACTAAGGGTGATGCAGAATTCTTTTGAACATTTGTAAGTCTGTATGATAACCGTAGAATCCTGTGTGATGCCACTAGTTATTACACAGGCTGAAACACTGGTACATGTATCAAATGTTATCATGGCTCAAGTCATAAAGCTGTTTATATGCCATATATTCATACTGGTAGTGTTTACTGTTCTACATAGTCTGTGTCTGAAAATTTTTGTGCATCTTGATTTTTTCCCCCTATTGGTAACAGATGTTCACAGATTTCTTGCATCTTCTTGTTCTTGATTTTTTTTCCCTTATGGTGCCAAATGTTCACAGATTTCTCCTGACCGATTGTTCTTGTCAGGCTAAGAAAGCTATAGACGTGTATGCAGCGAAGCGAAGCCGCTTCCTTGTGTGGGCGGGGTTAGGTTATATGGCGCTGCAGTTCGGCGTCTTGGCCCGGCTGACGTGGTGGGAGTACTCCTGGGATATCATGGAGCCCGTCACGTACTTCATCACGTACGGGATGGCCATGGCGGCGTACGCTTACTTTGCCGTAACCAGACAGGTACAGTGGGCATGGCAGGATGTGGTTGTTGTACAGGGGAGCCCAGAACGCTGGTGTGAGAACTAGTGCAATTTGTGGCATACATGTATTAGTATTTTACAACCTCTAAATTTGATCCTTAGGCCATGTTGATTTGATTATATGGATGACATCCTCTGGCAACCCCAAACCTGATGCAAGTGTGAGAATAGATAAAAGTTTGTGGATGTTTATCATTGGTCAAAAGTTTACCTGTTCTCACACCGGTGTTCAGAAGCTGCCCTTTGACTATTGTACCGTGACGTTCCCGTGTCTGTGTGAGTAATCCCGTCCCTGATGTTTGTACCCCTAGGTTAGAAAGGAGCTTGACACACGTGCTGAGAAACGCACCACCTTCATAGTGTACTCCGGGCTCGCGTACATGGCCTTGCAATTCGGCCTGTTCGCTCGCCTGACTTGGTGGGAATACTCGTGGGATATCATGGAACCCGTGACGTATTTTACTGGATATGCGATGTCGATGGCTGCATACGCTTACTTCATTGTCACGAGACAGGTGTTGTATCATGATCTATTTTTTTTTATCGAACAGTGGTCACTTTGAATTTGAAAAGTCATTTTATAAACTTGTCACCATAAAACTGTAGAGCCAACATCTGAACTTGGATGCACTGTTGCTAGATGCACTGTTGTGTATAACATGTCATTTCAAAAACATTGCGTTCCTTCTCATAGTTAGGCACAGTTGTATCATTTTTTTTTTTTTTGCCATGACAATTTGTGTCTTTTCAAGTATAAAGTGACCAGTGTTGTTAACATTGACACAGTACTAACCAGGTCTTTTTTTTTTATTTCATGAACATACATATCAGATTCTATACTTGACTGCATACCTTTGTTGTTTCTGTACTTTGATCTGTTACTGTAATAGTTTGATTGGTCCTGAGTGTTTCTTTCATCACTATTTTTGTTTCCATTACATTTACTAACTTGACAGCATTATCTTGTTGTTATGGTGTTTTGTGACTTCCGGTAGGGAGCTTGGCTTGTTGTGTGCATCTTTAGCTTGTACATGTACATGTATCATGACATTTACAGAAAAGTCAAAGGGTTGGGAAAGTAGTCTAGAATAAGAAAGACTACCAGAATCATTTGTTATCTCACATGCTTAAAAAGACTGTTGAGACTGTAGTCTGTATATAGGATTAAGCATGATTGTTGAGGTAGATAAGAATATTTTATCATTATTAAGATTACAGAATGATCTGACTATAAAATTCAGCATTGCACCATCATTTCATCTCTAACTGACTGTTATCATCTTTTATGCAGGAAGATTAAACATGTCCTACCTTTCTGCCCCCCTCCCCCTACAGGAGTATGTGTACCAGGATGCTGCAGACCGTCAGTACCTCCTGGGCTTCCACAAGAAGGCCAAGAAGGTCAAGTTCGACGTTCAGAAGTACAACTTCCTGAAGAGCCAGATCTACCAGTGTGAGGTGGACCTGAAGAGACTTAGGGACCCCCTGCAGCTTCACCTGCCCATGAAAGACGCAGAAGACATCGCTAGGCAGGACTAATGACCGCTGGGGAGATTAGTATAGATTTTACAAATAAAATGTGCTCATAAATGTAGTCTGTTCATGATCATATGCGCATGGTTGGCTGTAGCATCAAGCATGGCTGTCAGTTAGGTCCACAGTAGCCTCCGATTTGCACTGGCTGCACTTCAATTGCCACAAATATGCAAACGAGTCCTAATTTGCATATGTGTGTTCCTAATTTGCATATTTGTGACATCTTAGTGTTGCCATTTTGTTTTATATGCCTGTACACCTTGTGTGTTGTTAACTTCTATTGCTAACAGATAACATGAATACAGGTTGAGGTTAGCATTAGTTGTTTTTGACGACTGATGCACTGCCTGTTAATGTGCTATGCAATAAAAACTTTGCGGGAACGGTGGTTGCAACTCAAGCATTAGCGCAGAGAAGTTTCCACCAGTTCCTCCAGTAAGAGTGGCCATGGCTGATACGTGATAGGGCTATCCAGTCAGTTTACCTAGCTACCTGCTCCAGACCTTGGCCACATTACCATGTACATCTACATGTATGTCCATGTGATTATGTCCTTTCCATATTAACTGCCTGATACAGTGAGGCTTCCCTAGCTACCAGTGTAACTTTTATCATTCACTTCACATAATCCTTTGCTAAACTCTGGCCTCAAGTTCTCAGATGCATTGTCTGGACTCAACATGGCACTCAGCAGCCATATCAAATTCATCCCAGCTCGAAATGACCCTGCATGGTACTGGTGCATTGAGAAAAACTGTCTATTTCACGCCTGTTTTGCAGGGTTACGTCAAACTGGGATAAATGGCTGCCGGGCGTCAAGGATTTTGATGCATTTTGGGATTAAAAGTCAAAGCTATGCAAAGGATTATGGGAAAGTGATTAATCCTGTTAAATCACTGAAGTAGAGCTGTTTCACTATAATAGTTCCAGATGAAGTGTTAGCCAGTCTGTATTTGGCAAATCTGTGCAACTCTATCTCCAACTCTCAAATGCTTCTCAAGGGTATCCCAGCTTAAATCCCTTTCTCTTGTCTGATTTCTTGGCATCCCTGCAGGCATTAACCACCCTCCACTCCATTACACACTGATGCAGAACTGATATGTATCTCATATTCTGTACATAGTTGAGGCAACAGATCCAACTGGCATACTAGTACCATGTGGAAATATCCAAGTCAAGGAAAGAAAATATCTTGTCCATTTATTATATTCTACTGGTCGTGCTTGCTTCATCCTATTAATGCACACAAAGTCAACCATTCCATTTATGGTGCACAATTGTTTAGATGGTGTTTTTTTTTTGTTTTATTTTGGATATACTATAGTTGTTCGTACAGTGGCTGCTTGTCATATTGGATGTTTAAGATTTCTTTCAACGACGCACAAACAGAAACAAATGAACGGTAGCCAAGACTGATATCTTGGTTGTACAAGTTGTGTTGTGTGTGTGGGTGGACTAAAAAAGATTTTCCTGCCCCCAAGAAGCACTAGAGAAGAGCCCCCTTATCAGATTTAACTCTCTGTAGTAATATTCAAGAATCTAACACGATGTAGATAGGCATGATAAAGACAGGAGCTATTTGCTGTGCTGTGCTAGAGGGGGAAGTGACAAATGAGTGTGGAAATTTCCAAACTTGACTAAAACTGTACAGAGAAATCCATTTTGAAAGTCTGCAAAAGATCCTAATCAATAAGACAGTCTAGATAGAGCTCAAGTTTCTCAGGGTTTATTAAAGCCATGGGAAGCACATCAGAAGGTTTTGACTGGAGCAGAAAGTCTATAGATGTACTGGAATGTCATTAGATTTAGCTTGGTGGGAAGCTGTTGAGGAAGTAATGGTCATATGAAATGTGTCACCAGGTTATTTGCTTGGTGAAAAGGTGTAGAAAAGGCAAGGAAGTTGCAGAATTTCAAGAAATTTGTGATGATGGACCTTCTGAATTGTAGCACACACCTTAACACCTTCATGTTCTTAAACGTTTTCTGAAGGAACAAGAGCTGTCTCCTTGATGACTTGTCATCTCCAAGGAGATGTCAGAGGCTTGCTATAGTCTGTGTGCACAGAATATAATGATTACAGCATGGTTTAACCTATAATGATGTTTGCCATGCACCAAATAACTAAAGGGTTCTTAATGTTGACAGGATGTATGCATGTCAGAAATATTGCTCGTAGACAGCAGGTATTATTTTTTCATAAAGCAGCAACTTAAGCCATGCCCGCAGCTATGGTATGTAGACAACGCTGAAGTTTTGATTAGGATCATTGACTGCAGTTCAATCTTGAAAGCTTGATGCTGTCTAGAGTAACCAGTATTGTTGACTGATGACCAGTGTTCTAGCCAGCCTGATTTGTTTTCCTTCATCTCAATTTTGTTTGACGTAACATCATGTTAAGCACCAGAGGCACAAAAATCCTAGCGCGGTCTGTGGGAATTCTCCCCCAGGAAAATTTTTAATCTGAAATGCTATTTCCTGCATTTTGAGGGGCATATATTACAACATTAATGTTAAATGTTAGTTTTAATCACTTTTCTTTCCATATGTAATATGTATAAAATCAAGACACTAACTTTTGTCCGTCAAACTTTTTTTTGCCATTGTAAGAAAAAATTCTATCAATTGACAGAAAGACAGGCACTGGCTAGGACACTGCGCTTCTCAAATTGGCATACACATGTATATCAAGACTTGATATATGCCATGATTAGCTTACGTATGTACAAAGGTGGTGGCTTGCTATATGCACCAATATCCAAATTGAATGAGAGTTACATGTAACTCAGGTTACATGTAGTAAATACGTATATACCTTGTACCATATTTGGGACGTTTTGTGGGGTTTGTTGCTGCCTGGTTATTAATTAGAAATAAAATGTGTGTGTTTTAATATCTGTTAATTTTTCTTTATTCAAGTGTATTGAGGATTGTTAACTTTGTTGCCCTAGAGGTGTAGATGGAAAATATGGAAGATATTTTGTGAGGAAATATTCCTGAATTGTAGGTCTCAATGTGATACAATGAAGACAATCAGTAGTACTTTACCACAGAACATACAGTACACTATGGGTTTTGTACATCAAATACTGTCAATTGCTATGTAACAAAACGTACCTGTACCACCTACAAGTAGCTCAAACTTTAAAATAATAATTGCAGTTGAGAAATCATCCAAATGTTGGCTAAAGTAGTGTAAAGAGATGCACAGAAAATTAAGGATCACCAATTCCGAAAACAGAGTTCTAACCTCCTATTTTGCTGAGTTTGTGCTAAGAAAAGTATTAAAGTAAGACTGGTTATCGAATGTGACACATGTACCTTGCAGCCAAATATGGATCTTGTACTTGGGTAAAATTGAGCACGCTGCACTTAATAAATTTCAACACTACGTCTTGTTACCATGTGTGAAGTAAGGTATGTACAAAAAAGGACACCATACATTGTGACTTTGATGTCAAGGTAACAGTTTTCTGGTGGTTGAAAAATAATGGTGTGAATCCTGATGTGAGCAATAAGGGATAGTCACAAATGTTGCTGCTGTTTTCAAATGAAAATGCTTTTGAAAGAGCCAAAGTGATGTGAGATTGGCATTAGATTCAAAGTCATATGTACATTGTAGCACATTCATGGGTCACATATTACACTGGATTCCACAAATTAAAGCATGTATCTTTTAGGCTACTTTCTAGCAACAAAAGTGACTTCATTTGGAGATGACTGTGACTTTGTGAGACCCTCCCTAAGGATAGAATTGTACATGCACATTCGCTGCTGCTCATTGTTTACATGTTCATGTGAGGAAACTTTGTGCTGTAGCTGTCAGACCATGTATTGCTGTTACAGTATCTTGTTGCTTTCTTTTTGTGTTTGTGCGATGTTTAGGATAAAGAACATTTCTGCCAAGGAAGCTCAGAAAGCCAATTCATGCTGCCTGTATTAGATTTGAACCCACAATATTGCTTCATTCTATGCAAAGAATTTAAGGTCCTGTGCAGAAAGTTTGGACGTGAACATCAGATGTTTGTAAGATATGCTAAAGACATTGTGGATTTGGAAATTCTCTTACTATTGCAGATTTCATAGTTCAGGATTTTTTGGCCGCATGATGATAACATGATTCAATGTTACTTACAGAAAAATGCATTTGACAGAAAAAAACACTCAATACACCAAATTTCTATTGGTTACAGTATACAATATAACGGGGTAAAAGTACAAATGTAGGGGGAGAGCAGTTATTAGAATGGAAAAGGACTAAAAAAGAATTCTGTTGGGAGATGTTACCGTTACAGTTGAAACATTGAGAGCTAAGAGGAGGGGCAGAAATATTCCAGATGACCCCCTAGTTCAAGATAGAACTAATCTTCTAGTGTACTAATGGACGTTTAGTGAGAAGAGATGTGGTAGTACAGGGATTTTCCCACTCAGAAGTAGGTGGTGCTAGACTAGATTAAAATCTGGATGTACACAAAATGGGGACTATTTTTACAGCTACATATAGACATTGTTATGAGTACACAACAACTGAGGCCAAATGACATCGTTGGAAAGGAAATTGTCAATGTACTTAACGCTCTAGCTTGCTGCAAATGCATCATGTAAGAAAGTTGCACACAGCATTTTTAGACACTTCTGTGTCTTATGTCATCTGCACCTTTTGAGAACCACTTATTGAAAAGGAAATTTTGCATTAACATGTACTCTAATAAGAACAATTTGGAATTTAAAATGAAGTATTATAATGATATAATGGCATGTTTTGGTAGCTTAGAGAGAATGCGATACTATAATAAAAAATATAGAGGTAGGCAAGAAATGGGTGAGAAACTATAATTACTGCTGATGTTCAGAGCTCGAGAGCACGGGAAATTTTATACTGTTTGTAAATACAGGGGGAATTGCTGGGTACATTGCTACAATGAGAAAACTTGCACATGTATTTCTACTGCAGTCTCAAAGTTGATACTCCAGGAGCTATAGGTTGTCATGATAAGACTGTAGATTTGAACCAAGCCTGTATTGCCAACATTTCTCTAACTTAGGTAAGAGTTGTTACGCTGTTAGATAAAATCATGGACTGTTCTGATGTTACTTCTCAAAGTGGTTTGTTCCAATGTTTGTTTGCTGTTGAAAGTAAAGTCTCACTCTGTTTTTGGCAACGCCTCAGGGGTGGGGGCATTTGTTAACTGTTGTGATTTAGTACTAATATTGTATGTATTGTATACATACTTGTAATGGTTTGATGTTGTTGGTACCGAATTTTCAGGTGTGTATTTTTCCCAGGTAGTAAAACAGTTCAGTTTAATCGGTGGTAAACAGTATGGATTTGTTCTTACCCAATATGAATTCATCACTGTCTTTTTCACAATATTGTTACTGTAAAAACATTTCCACTCATGACATACTGGATGAACATGTATATGTAGCATTGCCATTGGCATACTTGTAGGGAAATGGTGTTGCCTAATGCATGGTGTTCAGAATGCACATTTCAGTGTACATCTGCAATGGAGGACTGTTCAGGGCTTTCATTCGAGGGGTTGCTCTCCACAATGCACCCATGGTTCATTTCTAGCATTTGGCATACCAATTTTCCAGCGGGAAAAAAAGTTAGATCGGCAGGTTTTTCCTAGGCTTAGTCTGGTTGAGAGAAACAACTATTTTTCGCCTTAGCCAGATAGCAACCATGTTTTAGCAAACTGAAAGCACTCCTCTGGACTTCCCTGAACAGTTGCTCGGAAATGACACTGGCAAGAGGGTAGAGGAAAAAGACCAATAGACCAGAGGTGGAGGTTTGTTCTGAGGAAGAGAAATGCGACTGTGTTGCTGGATTGGTTTGACACTGTGCCTTGGCTTTTGCAACTAAAAGCTAGGCACTGCTATAGCTACTGTTTGTTTCCAGGGTTATAAATGTGATAAGGGTTGGAATCCTGAATACGGACAGTACTGAGGACAGTTCAGTAGAAGGCATGACAAACTGTATGGACTTGTGCAGGGCTATGCAAATGATGTGTAACTGTCAAGCAGATATTTGGGTGAAGGATTGTAACATTTCGTGGTTGCCAAATCATTTTATTCCTTACCTATCATTGAGACAATGTGTGTAAGAAACCTTTGGCAGTCAAAATTTTATAATCTTCCATCCACCATCTGCTTGGAGATGATGTTCGTTCTGTCCAGGATGATTCAGTTTCTATTGAAAACTTGAGTGTGTATGAAAATTGTGTAAGAACCTTACTGAACGAATACAAAAGCATCATGATCAGGTGGATTAGTCAGGAACAGTTTTGCACTGTTGTTTAACAAGTTTTAACTGACTGTGTGACAAAATACATGTACAGGTACTTTTACATTATGTTTCAAATAAAATTTTGATTGTGTTGGTCTGAATAGAGTATTGTCAGTCCCACATTGCATTTGTTCAACTTGTGTCATTTGCTTGTAGCTTTTACTGTGGATGTCAAAAAAACACCAATAGTGGAGAAATACTTTGGTATTTTGTATATGCCACAAATGGTGCTGAGAGTCATTCAGTATTTGTTCTTTAATCCATGAAACGTGTGGAAATGAAACATTTCAGCCATTGTATCACCAGTAACAACAGTTGTTGGGATCAAATTGAGCGCCATTTGCCAAAAGAAGTGAAAATATTAACGGCAAATACCAAATGATTGGTTGTGTAAAACCTGCTATCAGTCAATTTACTGTCAATGCCTGTACAAATGCTTGAGCTCAAGTATTTCAATCAACCCGTACACATGTATCTGTCAGGTATGGACCAGGAAGGACCATTTTGAGGAGGGAAATGCAGAAAATTTGGTGTTTTATTTTCCAGCTAGAAATGTGCAAATGTAGGTCATAGAGCCTTTAACTGTCTGCGGCAAATGAAGGAAACTGTAACATTTTTAATATTATCCTCTTGGTGCAATATTTCATCACTTTTTATGATTAATAAATTTTACCACCACCCCTCCCCACAATCTTTCTTGGTACATCCCCGATGATGGTACATTAGTGTCCTTACTCAAATGTTGGTTAACTATTTACATCAAAGTCGAATCATTTTGCTCTCCCACAGTATGAAAGCCATTGCAGGTGACGTGTGGTAATCTAAGCCATTGAATAGTGGTGATACATGCACAAAGCAACAGTCAATGTCAGGAGTGTATCATGTAAAAGTAAATACAGTCAAACCTGTCCAAGACGACCACTCGGGACGAAGAAAACCTGTAAAATGTGACCAGGCGGCCACTATAGACTTTTGTCAATGGGAAAAATTATCTAAAGGTCCACCAAAAGTGGTCACATAGGTCAGGTGGTCTTTATATGGTCACTTGTGCAGACTTGATTGTACTTCGTATTTCTGGAATCTAGTTTTCACTGTCATCCATGTTTCACAACTTTGGAGGATGACAAAATGTGGTGAATTCGTTCTCCCCATGCTTATACGTAATGCCAAAGCTTTGTCGCAGCTCAATTTTCTACCGATATCTACCAAACTGCAAGTAAGGACATAGGTGATATTAAGGAACTCAGCTGTCTAACGTGGAAAAACTGAACGAATACCTCTTTCTACTGATTTGGAATAGATTGAATACAAGATCTATATAATAAAGATTAGGCTTACTTAGTTTTGTGTGAAAGCTCTTTATTGTGTTGTGTCTCATTACTTAGAAGTATAGAGGTAAGCATAGAAAGACTGCAACCGTACATTTTGTACAAGCATGGCTATAAAGTTGACAGTACCACGTCTATGTCCAAATATATATATGCGAGATTAGAAAACACTGTGTGTCAGTACCACGGCTATGCGTGGGAGCGGGAAATACTGTCAGTACCACGGCTATGCGTGGGAGCGGGAAACACTGTCAGTACCACGGCTATGCGTGGGAGCGGGAAACACACTCAGTACCACGGCTATGTCCTTAGATGTGAGAGCGGGAAACACTGTCAGTACCACGGCTATGTCCTTATACGTGGGAGCAGGAAACACTGTCAGTACCACGGCTACGTCCTTGGATGTGGAAGCGGAAAACACTGTCAGTACCACGGCTATGTCCGCACGTGTGGGAGCGGGAAACACTGTCAGTACCACGGCTATGTCCTTACGTGTGGGAGCGGGAAACACTGTCAGTACCACGGCTATGTCTTTACGTGTGGGAGCGGGAAACACTGTCAGTACCACGGCTATGTCCTTATACGTGGGAGCGGGAAACACTGTCAGTACCACGGCTATGTCCGTACGTGTGGGAGCGGGAAACACTGCCAGTACCACGGCTATGTCCTTATACGTGGGAGCGGGAAACACTGTCAGTACCACGACTATGTCCTTATATGTGGGAGCGGGAAACACTGTCAGTACCACGGCTATGTCCTTATACGTGGGAGTGGGAAACACTGTCAGTACCACGGCTATGTCCTTAGATGTGGGAGCGGGAAACATTGTCAGTACCACGGCTTTGTCCTTACGTGTGGGACCGGGAAACATTGTCAGTACCACTATGGAAGCGAGAAATACTGTCAGTACCACGTTAGAGTGGGTAATACAATGATCTTATTTCCGCATTTTTTCGGCCATCACTGAAGCGGCTTAGTAGAAACGAGTTGTCGTTTTGACATACTGCAAACGTTAAATACGTTAAGTAATGCAGTACAATATCCCCTTTCGGTCTCTATTGGCTAGTGCATAAAGGTAGGTATATCGTGATTAAAACTACGGTTGCAAATGCCAGCAGCGCCCCGGCTCGTCATAGCGACGTGTCATCGCCGCCCAAACTGGTTGACATATTGTACCGGCGATTGCTACGCTCCCGCGGGGTCTCCCAACAATGTTTGGCGACGCAGGCGGGGCGTATGTACAACACCTGTCGGCATCAGAACAACCAACCTCCCGCAGACCGGGCTAGGTGGTCCTGTCCAAATCGCTTGGGATTGACCCTGAGGAAGAAACGAACGTCCATTTTGAGACGCCATGGCAACGACAGACTTCGTGAGAGCAAGGGACCCTCTACACGACTTGTACAGGTAAGTGTATAAGGTCACTACTTCTTTTTTATCTGTATCGCTGGTTTATATAGCTTTGGAAACGGTGGTTGAGATTACTATCAGAAATTAAACATGCCCAGTTGGACTATTGGCTTGTTTAAAAATTGTGTAGCAGATTAGAAACACGACTATCCTTCTACGGGTGCCATAATCTTCTGTAGTTAGAATTTTGTATGTTCTTAAGGTTACAAAATTTGCCCCGTATCGTGGTCCATTGTTGTAAAAGGGATCGTTCAACAACTACAGATAAGTCGTGATTACACTATTCATTAAGACCGAAAGGCCCCATAATGCTAATCACGAATAAAGGACATCAAGCTTAATCAATCATCCACTCTGACCAAAATAATTGATTAATTATCGTGAAGGTCAACACAGCCGAATCCTTTAATCGCACGAAAAACAAAATACCCCTGAGGGTTTCCTCTGTAATTTGAGTCTATCATTTTAATGGTGGTGTCTAGAAGTCATTGTCTGTTCGTTTAAATAATGACCTATCTGAAAATCGATACATGTGGTGTAGGTGTTTGTGGTATAGACCGGAGTACTGGACGTTTGGTCTTGTGTTGAACCAACTAGAGTAGTTTGACGTGTTGTTTAGGCATGGTGTGTGGGTGTTGTGGTAAAATAGACGTTTTTTGTATGAAATCTTCTATTCTAGTTACCGTGCCTGGTGCATTTTTCCTTCCAGGTGCCCCAAACAGAGCTAAAATTTTTCCCTTCGCCCCATGACTACATTTATCTTATATTACCTTCCGATTATGTCATTTGCAGGCGTCTTCTCCCACATTTTTGTGTCCAATCATTGTCAAAACCTGCTTAACGCTACCGAAATTTTCCTGATAAGATCAGTAGTAAATTGTCCGCGAATGGCATAAATCCCACATTTAAATGATTGTAGAGCAATTATTGTACTCCTGATGGTGAAGTGTGGCGCCTACTTGACCATAGTCCACGATCCAGTTTGCTAATAATGAATGAAAGACCTTTATTGTACGTTTGTGCTCTAACAAACAAGCTAACTACAGGTCATGAATAGACAAGGAAAAGGATACAGCAATTACACTTAAACTATGCATACTAATGTGACCTACTATTTACATGTTCAACTTCTTCTCGCTTCTTGACGCAGTTATAGATGTACGAACATATGGAGCTAATGATACATGGTTTGTCAAGTTTCATAAGAAATATGAATTTTTCTAATTCATTTAAATATCCAAAGCTTGGGAAATATAAGATTATATGGAATCTCTCTCATTACTATATAACATATAACATAGAATCGACTACAAAATGATACTCATCCTCAATCTTATCTAAATCGCAATTGGCAAATCCTTTGCTGTAGAGGAATGCGGTTATGTCTGCCTTTTTCTACCTTGAACAAGGATACTTTTGAAGCACACAAAATACCCAAAACTGACCGCTGCACAAAATTAAAAAAGAGCCTCCTTCGCGAAAACATTCTACAAGCTTCTTTCTTCGTACGTCTCACGATTACTGGTGACAGGAATGGTAGTGACTGATGCACAGAAGGGGCAGGTTTACAAACTAAGGGCTTACAAAGCACCATGTTCTCTATGGTTACCTAGAGTTGTAAGTTAACTTCCGGACAAAGTCTTTCCATTGTACAAATATACACACTCGGTGTTGTATAAGCTAAAGTCACGTTTTTCATTATTGGTTGACAGTAGTTGTTTGGTACATTCGTAAATGTTTCATTGTTATTGTATCTGTGTTTCCGACATACGTTTGCCAGCATGATATTTGGTATGTGTAAGGAGATTTAAATGCATATAACCACCCTGGTATGTGAATAGGTCTTGAAAAGATTTTCATGTTTGGATCGAATTAACTCCCGGAAATGCTACAATATATTTAAGGCATCCAATGCAATTTCAGGACGACAAAAAAAAATTGGATGAGAAAATCTGTCTGATATTGACATTTACTGCCAATTCTAAGCAAATTTCATACTTGCAGCGTTTGAAATGGCCCAAAAAGCTACGTGAGGCGTCTATTTATTTCTTTGGGGTACCAGCCATAAATATCTAGAACCAGCCTACGATACAAAACAAGCAACCGTTTTCCGTCAGAGACATCACATATTTCCCACACAGATAGCAGTATGCTACGGAATGGAACTTATATATTACTTTTGACATTGACTTTAAAAATCAATTTTTCCGCCCTGAAATCGGATTGGATGCCTTTAATTTCAAAATGCGCCATAAAGTCATTTGTCTCCTTTGTCTCAGTACTTAAGATTTCATTACTTCAACTTGAAGTAGTCAATTTTTAAATCCCATATCTGTCCTGTCTACTTCAAAATTGTTGACGATAAAATTCTCACCTTATTATTGATACG